AGCCAGCCTGCTCTGGAGCTTTCCCACAGGCTGCTGCAGGATTTGTACCTTGTGCTCTGCCTGTGAGCACATATGTGCCTCTGCTGCTGTGTGGGCCCAGCATGTGAACATTGTGGGAGGAATAAGCAGTCCTAAGCCTTTTTATGCCCCAACTTGCTTACTTTTTATAACAGGTTTAAAACATTCACTTCTTTTACTACTGAAATGCCTGGATTATTAATTTTTTAGCAACCAGGACTGTTCTTTTTTTGAAGTGTACTTTTCATCTAAACTGTTACCTTTTGTTGTTGTCATTACCTTCCGCATGTTTACCTGTTCCCTGCTGATGCTGACTACTCAGCTACAATTTCACACCACTGCATTGTCAGATTTGCCCTGTGTTATGCTAGTAAACTCTCATTGCCCACCATACTGCCCTAACCCAGCACAACCTTTACATTTACTAGGGAAAACATTAAATAAATAATTTTTCTTTTCAACCTTTCTATTTCACTTCTGGAAATCTGCAAAAAGTCTGGAAGGAGAAGCAAAAGTTGCAAGAATGAGGAGATGAACAGAGGCCCAAGGAGCCTGCATGGAGGGGCAGGACTGCAACGCCAAGTGCCATTACAGTATCTCATAACTGCCTTAATGTGGACTCAGTTTATTTTTAGAAACGAGGAATCATATCTCAATGTTATTAAACAAGTCACAACTGATATGTCCCCTTCACACCTTCAGAGAGATCTGCATGTCCACTTTTGATAATGGAGAGTAGCCAAGCAGATCTCTAAGCAGGTCTTTCTCATGCATGGTGGAACAAGGGAGCGGGAGGACTCCAAGATGGCTCTGTGCCAGCTGGCTGTGCTTCAAACTAATAATCTCATACAGCACTTTCCTACAGTGCACTGCAGGGTGTTGTAAGGCTTCATTAGCTAAGGCTTGTGAAGCATCGTGAGTGCTTAAATAAAAGGGACTGGTTTAATGTTAAATACTACAAGGATGTTTTTCCACCATGCAAAACTTACAGTTCCAGCCTGGAGAAGTCAGCTCTAACCTTGCCCTCAGCTCTGGTATGGAGAGGCATCTGCCACCAGCAATAGTATCATCATCACTGTCTATGAGCAGGATTGACTGGGGTGGCCTGAAAGCAACAGTGGTGCACTGGTTTCTTTCATAACTAAAGGAACATTTTGCTGATTTCTTAACAGAAATCATAATTTTCTCCTTTGGCAACGCTATGGCAGCTAAGACTACTTGCAGGTCAGTCGTGTTTTTACCAGGACATTTTATTCAATTACATTTAAAACCTTTATAAAGAGTCATTTAAAAAAGCGCAACAAAAAGGAGGTAAGAAGGCTATATGTTAGCATAAATGAAAACTATTGCCATTATTATTAACAGAACAATTTACACCAAACAGCAGTAAGGTTTTACTGGTGTATTAAACAAATAAATGACAGTTTAAATTAAAACATTTAATCAACTGCTACTCTTTGCAAACCTTCCTGCACTTTGTCATCAAGGTTGTATACCTGTAGGCAACAAGGACCTTTTTGTCCAGCAAATCGGCTCTGAAGAGGAGAGGAAGCAGTCCACTGACTGTGACCTTAACAAAACTGTTGTTCTGCATCTGTACACTCCAAAAAAATGAAGCCGAATTATTTACAGGAGGTAGATCTGGAAAATTAAGAGAATCATTCTTGCACCAAAGAAAAACAATTAATTTTTCCATCATTTAAATGTATCAGAGATAACTACTATAAATTATGAGGGTAAATTTTCTTCATCAATTTGTCAACTTGTATTCATCCATTTTTCAATAGTCACCAAAGTACACTCTCTTTTGATTTCCATAATACAAAAACCTGTAAGCTTAGAAAGCCAGACTTGTAACAGGGGTAGAGACAAGTTCTTTCTCAGGAAGGAGAGACAGCGTGTGCATAGCTGGACAGCCAGCTTGGGCCAAGGAGCTGCAGGAGCAGGGCTGCTCCATGCTGAGGGGGACAAGCAAGGCACAGCATCACATGCAGAGCACTATTTTGAGAAGCAGAGGTGTGGCCAGGTTCCTCCTCCCGTGGTCCACTCCCTATTTTTGCCATTCCTCACTCCTGAGTAAATTGGCTTTATGATGTCTGCATTAACTGCAAGAGCTGATTTCCTCTCCCCCTTTCAATGCCTAGCACCACCTAAAGAGATCCAAAAATGCTGAGTCCCAGTGAAGTTTACCATAGCTGGTGTTTCTACTACCTCTGATAGTCTTAATGACTTGTCAAAGAGGGAAGAAACACAGTTTGTTTGTATTTCTGACCCACACAGCCAGTCACACAGCAGCTACCCTTCAGCAGCCAGGATGGCTTCCCACAAGCACGCTCTGGGATGGGCTAAGACCAGAGAAACTGTAAGACTGGCCTTGTAACCCAGGTTTTGGGGACATTCATGTGACAGCTGAAAGCTCTGCCCACTTTGTCTCTCTCTGTCTGTCAAGCTGCCTACTTCTTCCTTACAGACACTCAGACTTTTCACTTGATTTCACCCAAACACTTTTATCATTGTTTTATACAGCACAAGCATGTCAAACAGAGTAGTCATTACTTAATTACTTGATATCTAAATCAGAGAGTTTAGTCAAACATTTCAAGTTTTCTTAATTGTAGCCGACTAATAGAAACATCTGCTAGCAAACACCAGGCTCTCAGGCTTGCAGGAATTACACCACAAATGACAGGAAGGCTTGGGATAATAACCTAGGGTAACAAAATAAACACAATGGTTCATCTCAACTTGCTAATCTTCTGAGTATTTTCATTCTCAAGTGATTTTAACAAGCAATTCTGAGATCTAAGCAGAAGTCTATGTATCATTGGAGTGTTTTACTTTACTATTACAACAGACTAAGTATTTTTATCTTACATCTAGTTTCCCAAGGAATTGTCATCAATGTTATACTGATTCCTTCTTCCATACAGCATAGATAGCAAGACCTAAGCCTGGCAGAAAAATGTCTGCAGCTAATTTCATATCTATAAATTTTAATTCAGCCTCCTTATCACTCACAGAAAGTTTTCTTAGGTACACACAGGGCAGACTGGCCTATTAGAAATTTTTTCCATTATACAATGCCCCTCACCATGTGTATCAGCTTCCAGACACTTCCTCCAGACAAAATCAGGCCTTTTTAAACAGAAGAGGAACCTTGTCTTCTACCCTTTCTCAGTTAGATGCTGAAGATCTCTACTAAGACGAGACACAGCTCTTCCCTGCTCACTTTTCGTTCCAAGAAGAGATCTTAGATCCCCAGCCTAAGTAAACATAGGTGATAAAACTGTTCCTGACCCATCCGGCCTTTGGAAAAACTGTAATTCAAATGGGAAAGTGATAAAGCTTGGCCACAACAGGACAACTACAAGGGAAGTGACCCACACAGCTAAAGTCCATGACCCTGGGGAAACTGGGTGCCAGTGCAGCAGTGGGGGACTGTGGGAAGAGCTCTCACAGGATTCATCAAATCTTCAGTAGAAGGGGCCATCAGAAAAGCAGATGTCAATCTATATTGTGATTTCTCTTTTCTCCCCCAACCATCCTTGATGGCAACTGTGTCACTCTCAGGAGTGGAGCCAGAAGACAAAGCACATTACCAATCTAACTTTGGGATTATGTTGTGCTTTCTAGTAGCAATAGTAAAGAAATTATTTTATCAATCCCCTTCATTAACCTAAAGTCTTTCTCAGGGTATCCTCAAGCTTTTTTTTCTTTTATCTTTTTTTTTTTTTTTTTTTTTTCCCAGTAATAGGATGCTGTACAGCCTTAATCCATCTTTTTATTTTGAATCTCTGAAGGTTAGTGTCATCTGAGATCCTTGTAGCTGATCTCCCTGCAATCAGCTGTGCTTCTTCTGAATGTACTGGCTGACATTTTTGCCTTGTAGTGCAAGCATCCTATGGAAACCTTTCATTCCTAATTTATTGCTCGATCCTGCCTCTCCTCAGTGGAACCCTTTCCTGCCTTTCCAGTAGGAACAGCAAGCAGATATTGTTATTCTTGACAAATTTAGGATCAAGTAACCATTTTATCTTTAGCAGAGATGGCTATGGACATGAAGTACAGTGTTTCTACCTGGTGGAGGTGGCCAGGTTCCTTGGGCAGCAGGATGGCCACTGTGCATTTTGCCCAGACAGTGGGCCATGGCATGTTCACAAGACTGTCTAAGCAGAGGGAAAAAGAAACATGAGAACCCTCATTGCTCCATGTCCTGACCTATTCCTGTCCCATTATAAGACTACATGAAATTGTCTTTCTGCAGTCTACATCAATCTTTATACTTGATAAAGATCTGTTAGAGTTACAGAAAAATATATATGATCATACTTACTAAGCGCATGAATGGCAATACACAGCAATGTATAGTTTTTAATTGTGACATATCCAGCTGTTTCTAACAGTATTACATGATATCCCAAGGGACAGTTGCAACTACACGTGCAATTCTCACTGTGGTGTAACCTGGCTCTGGTCACCATAGCAGGTAACTTCTTAGTATTTTACCTGGTGGAATCACAGTATTATCAGTCTAGAAAACGATTAAAAACAACAAGTCGTTTTGACAGAGTAAAACCTATCCCATCTCCCAGTGTTTCTGGGGTCTCTTAAATAACCCACCGGGAAGTAAGTTTTTCTTAGTTGGCATGCCTTAGTGATGGCCCCAGAAAGGAACTAATTAACCTAATGCCAGGAAACCTAATGTGTAATATTGAGCATGACATTATTAACTGTGCAAGTGCTAAATATTTTTTTAAATTATTATGCAATTTTTGTTACTGTTGATCAAATTATACTGAAAGATGTTTGACCTACCTACATGTTCTTATAAAATTTACATTTATATAGCTTTTTCCATGCTTGATCATCACCAAATACCTTAACAAAAGAATTCTTTATAGAGGGTGAGAGAGATATTTTTATACTCACATCAATCTGTAGAAGCAAATAAGTAAAAATCAAGCAAAATTTTAAATTCATTAAGTCTTTGTGTCCATAGTGCTTCAACATGGAAGAGAAATCACTTCCATCTCCTAAACCTGTATGGACTCCATCTGCTGTGGGTGGAGAGAGAGATTTTAATACGGAAAGTAAGCAAGCACTTAAGATGTTGAGTATCTCCAATAAGACACAATTTTGCCCCTGCAGTCTCCTTTAATTGACTGAAGAGGATTTGCCATACAGCTCTCTGCTATCACCTGTCAGTAAGCTTAAATTGCTTAGAACATTGCCCTGAACAAATGAACATCTAGATTAAATCATTGTGATGGACACATAAACACACATGTAGAGAAAGAGGAAGAATTACCAATACCCTCATAAAATTTGTGTCTCCCAACTTGGGAATTCCTTAATGTTTCAAGTTATCTCATTTGTGCTGCGTCAGAAATGTGAACCCAAATGGCTTTTCCTCCTCTACCATGAATAAAAACAATGATTAGATACTAAATCAGGTTAACCAATTATTATTTCAGTGAAACTTGCAAAACATTTCTGCCAACTTGAGTTACACTCATGAAGATAATGGTGTTAATATCCTTTAAAATATTTATCAGCTTACTGTAAATTAGGTAACCATCTACAAAAAGTGCCAAATTCATATTCAAGAACTGATGTATGTGATACTTATAGAAGTGTATAAGGCAGGTAAAGGCATGAGTCCAAAATGTGCTTGAGGAATTAATGATTGCAAAGCACATAAAACACTTAAATAAATTGTCTGTCCTCCATATTGTGAAGGACAGAAAGGTTAAATAGCACTAAGCACTCTCCCTACTAAGAAAGCAAGACCTTTTCAACCTAGGAATTTTTTTTCCTAATAAGTTAGTATATTGATCAAGTGTTCAACTATCACCCACTAGTCAATAATTCATTACACTGGCTAATGCACTTAACTGCTAAACTAGCTATGGCTTTAAAGCTCTGAAATTAAAAGAGAGAGGACCTGCTGAATTCTGATTGCATCAGAAGCCCAGACAAAGCAAGTTCCTTCCTGATGAAAAGTATATAAAGCTATTAGAAGCTAATCCTATTATTTTATATTTTTTCCAAAACATCTTGCAAGTGAGGTGCCCAGCTAATTGCAACATGGAGAGGATCAACTTACATGGTGAAAAAAAAAAAACTCTTGCAACAAAGCAGGACAAAAAAACAGTAAAAAAAAGAGGAACTCTTGCTGCTTCCGAAACCCATCTTCAGACACAAACATGTTCAGCGTTGTTCAGCCTAGTAGCAGACACTATCAGAGCCACCACCAGAGCATGTGTTTTTGCTGGTGTGAGCCCCTACACAGTGAGGATATGAGAGCATCAGCTGCCACACAATGAGCACATGTGGTTGTTCAAAAGCAAAGGGCTTTCTGTCACAGTCGTATTGCAGCTTGCATAAAAGAAAAACACTAACTTTTATGTGACATCTTAGGAGGAATTAAAAAAAAAAAAAAAAAAAAAAAAAAAAAAAAAAAAGCACAGTTCTGACATGCAAAGCTAAACTGTCTGGATTTTCTTCTTTTTTTATTTCTAGTTTAAGCAACAAACCTCCATGACCCCCTTCCTCCCCCACATCACTTATGGAGAACTCGTTCTTACCTAGGATTTAATTTGTGACAGTGAAAGGAGAGCAAATTACTGTGCCTTTAGGACGCCTCTTGATATGTCAGGGACATTTAAGACAAGGTGCCAGTGACATTTTATGACTTACATTTTTATCCTGCTTTTTTGTGATCTTATTTAGGGAACCTGGGGAGATGAGCATGCTAGATGTTGCTGAAGTGTCCTTTTCTTGCTGTCCTCCAGAGCTGTATCTCATTGGGAATCCTGTTTAGTGTCAGGGTGTGCTTGGATGACTACAGCATTTATGAAAAAACTGTTTTCAGAAATAGTTTCTTCTCATTAGTTTTCCCATTACCACGGAGATTAAGTTGCCTCCTTTCAGGCATCAAATTTAGTTAGATATGTACCTCTGAAAAAATGAGGAAGACACCACATCCGTGCTATAGCTGCAGAAGTCTTAACCTATCCATCTTTTAACAATGGCCCATCTCTAACAATGGACATTCCAATTGCACTAAGTATTTTCAAATCAGCTGGACAAACTCCTTAGCCAGAGTGGAAGGTCTCTTTGTATCAGTAAGACTGATTATTAAATAAATATTAGAAAAACTCCAACTTTTATGTGGAATATATTCAAGTGTAATTCCATTGATCCGAAACAGAGAAAGAGGTTTTCTAGTTTGCCAGAAATTTTTCAGCATTTTATCAAAAAAGAGTTAGGAATCTAAAAGTACAATGAATACCAGTCAGTATGGTTTCATGGAGAATAGGTTCCATAAACACTTGTTCTATTTTTTAAAAAAACCCAAAACAAACCAAAACAAAACCCCACAACATTTTAACTAGTCTGTGTTGATGCAAATAATTTTCTCTACTATCACACATCTTGACTAAAAAGCTTGCACTGTCTGGACTCAGTGAATAGTTTCTATGGTTCTGAAAGTGGCTCACTGATAACTCTCCAAACTGTGGTGTTAATGAAATATGAAGAAGCAGGGCTATGAAAAAAGAGATATTCACAAGAAAAAGTCTTTGGTTCAATATTAGTTGACATTATCAGTGATGCAGGTGGCCAGAATGGCAGGATAAAAGTCTTGCCAAGTAAATATGCAGGTGGAATAGCAAAAGCCAAGAACACGTCAGTATTCTGAACTGACCTGAATCACCTCACTAAATGGTCTCTATACCATGTAAGGATAGCGTTGCACTGCATTGCATTGAGAAAAATCATGAGACATGATCTGATATGTGCCCAGCCAGGTGCTTCCAGGAAGAACACATAAAAGGCAAAGGAGAAGGGTTTACCCAGGCTTAAAATTCATGAATGGGAGCTGAAAATAGATAAATGTGACCTTGCAATAAGATACTGCCTCACAGCAGTGAAGGTAATTAAAAGGTAGAGGGAATTACTGCAAGAATTAGTAGACTTTCAGACACTTAGTCTTTCAGATGAGATTCCCTGTTTTTCTAGAGGACTTGCAAACTTTAACACTCTTCTGGAGAAATTAAATGGCCTTTGAAAAGTGGGTTAAGGGTAAGTGGCCACTGTTGTTCTTTGGGACCTCACAGCCTGTGAATAATTTATTGACAAATCAGATGCTAAGTTTATAACACAGCAGAGAGGAAAAATGCCAGCTTTGGCTTTGGGCAGCATCTGTAAAATGAACTGGTTGGCCTCAGACATCTCTGAACACCAGCTCAGGCCACCACCTCTCCAAAAACAGTTGCTAAAATAGAGTTCAAAGAGGAACAACAAAACCCATCCTGACATGTAGTAATTTGGGGGCAGAAATTCTGGTGTGTGACCACAGTGGACACAGTGTCACTGTAATATCTTAGAATGGTCAGTACTATGGTGATGCAGAAGCACTTTAATTACAAGAAATACACTGTAATTAAGAAAATGTCTTGCACGTTTTGCTGTGAACTTGTAAAACTACATTAAAACATGACAGGAAAAGAAGTCCTGCATTTCAAGGTCATTAACCCAATGGTTTAACAAGATTTAACCTTTAACTTGCTTAATAAATGCACCATTTACAGCATTTCCAAAGTCCCTGGATTTCAGCAGTGTGTTGCACTCCCCGCATCACACTGACAAGAGATTTGAGCATGGAGCACTCTCCCATCCCATGACATGCACTACGCATTACACCAGGTGATACTAATGAGCATGCCCCTGAATCTTCCTACTCGCTGATATTGGAAATGCAAAGTAAGCTCACTGCCTCTTCACAGCCCCTAACAAACCAAATCTCTGATGATAAATGACAGCCAAGGCAGAGCAGGGCCCTTTGAATGAGAAATACTATTCAAATTCAATGGGTAAAAAAAGAAAAATAGAGGATGATGTGCCACGGAAAGGGAGGCAGAGAAGAACAATACATGACCCTTGAATAAAAATGAAAAACTAATCACACTATACTGAAGCTGTGGATAGAACATTTCATCCCCTTTTTTTGTATCTTGATCAGTCAGCCAGGCATAAAAATGACCTTTCATGCATGCACGTTTTCAGAATGGATGTCAGCTGGCCTTCAGCACAGGAGATACCAGATGTTTTCTATTTAAGGACTGTTCTCTGAAAAGTTAAGCCTGGGCAGTATGGCAGATGTCTGTGCATAAGCACTTCAGCTTCTGCTTCACTGGGATCATTCAGTGTTTCAGGACTTCAGTGAATGCAGCCAGGGAGCAGAAAAGCTCCCTGTTCTTTTGCTGCTGTTTGACATGTATTGCTTGAGAGCGCTGGGTATGGTTTGAAGGATCCTGTGCTGGTCCCAGGCCCCTGACAAGCAGCATCAGAGGTGCCCTCTGACAGCTTGTTTCTGTGGCCTCTGAGCATTGGCACCACATAAGACTTTGAGTCATCCCTTTCTCCTACTAGAATGAAGTTTTTCTCAACAATGAACAGGGGTTAAAATCAAGATCATTTCCTTCCTTTCAGCCCTACTGCAATGGACTCTAGAATCCTTTTCCACTGTTTTGTCTGGAGTATGAACACAGAGAAAGCTGCCTGCTAGAAGTAAAAGGATAAAAGACCACCTCTTGTTATTTAGCTTATGAGGGATTTTTAGCTTTAGCCATGTATGAGACCACAAATGGGCCATACCAAAAAATATGTCTGGCTCAGTATCTTCTCTCCAACATTGGCCAAAAGCAGGTGCCCATGGAAGGTAGCCGACAAAGATGCAGCAGTAGGATACTTCACCCAGCTAATGTTGCAGCATCTGGTAACATATGGCTGAGGGCCACAGTGAGCCAGGGACAGTTCCTATGTACTGGGTAACCCCCAGTAACTTTATCTGTCATTAACATATTCAATATCCACACATGAATTTGGGTATCTAAACAATTCTGGGACAGAGTTCACAGTTGAGCTATACATCACTTGAACAGTGAGTAGGTGAAAGTTCATATTCATCTATAAGAAAGGCAGGAAGGACAATTCAGGAAATTATAGAGCTGTCAGTCTGACCTCGGTGACAGGGAAGGTTATGCAGCAGGTCATCTTGGGTGCCATTAAAAATCATATAACGGACAACCAGATGCTCAGGCCCAGTCAGCATGGGTTTATGAAAGGCAGGTCCTGCTTGACAAACCTGATCTCCTCCTACAACAGGGTGACCTGCTTATTGGATGAGGGAAAGGCTGTGGATGTTGTCTACCTTGACTTTAGCAAGGCCTTTGACACTGTTTCCCACAGCATTCTCCTGGCGAAACTGGCTGCTCCTGAGTTGGATGGGCACACACTTCGCTGGGTAAAAAACTGTCTGGATGACCGGGCCCAGAGAGTTGTGGTGAATGGAGTTAAATCCAGTTGGTGGCCGGTCACGAGTGGTGTCCTCCAGGGCTCGGTTTTGGGGCCACTCCTGTTTAACATCTTTATTGATGATCTAGACGAGGGGATCGAGTGCACCCTCAGTCCGTTTGCAGATGACACCAGGTTGGGTGGGAGTGTTGATCTGCTCGAGGGTGGGGAGGCTCTGCAGAGAGACCTGGACAGGCTGGAGCCATGGGCTGAGCCCAACTGCAGGAGTTTCACTAAGGGCAAATGCCGGGGGCTGCCCTTGGGCCACAACAACCCCCAGCAGCACTACAGCCTTGGGGAGGAGTGGCTGGAGAGCTGCCAGTCAGGGAGGGACCTGGGGGTGTTGATTGACAGCCCGATGAACAGGAGCCAGCAGTGTGCCCAGGGGGCCAAGAAGGCCAATGGCATCCTGGCTTGTGTCAGCAATAGCGTGGCCAGCAGGGACAGGGAAGGGATCTTGCCCCTGTACTCGGCACTGGTGAGGCCGCCCCTCGATTCCTGTGTTCAGTTTTGGGCCCCTCACTACAAAAAGGACATTGAATGACTCGAGCGTGTCCAGAGAAGGGCAACGAAGCTGGTGCAGGGTCTGGAGCACAGGTCGTACGGGGAGCAGCTGAGGGAACTGGGGGTGTTTAGTCTGGAGAAGAGGAGGCTGAGGGGAGACCTCATCGCCCTCTACAGCTCCCTGAAAGGAGGTTGCAGAGAGCTGGGGATGAGTCTCTTTAACCAAGTAACAAGTGATAGGACAAGAGGGAATGGCCTCAAGTTGCACCAGGTAAGGTTTAGGCTGGATATTAGGAAGCATTTCTTTCCAGAAGGGGTTGTTAGGTGTTGGAGTCCCCATTCCTGGAGGTGTTTAAGATTTGGATTGACATAGCACTGAGGGATATGGTATAGTTGGGAACTGTCAGTGTTAGGTCAATGGTTGGACTGGATGATCTCCAAGGTCTTTTCCAACCTAGACAATTCTGTGATTGTGGGAATCTCCTCCTCTCTGTTTTACATGTCACCTTTCAACAAAGGGGTGTATAAAAGAAAGTTATTGAAAAAGATATGAATGTACATCACAAGATGGAATGCCACAAAGAAAAAGGTAGAATATGAAGTATTGCCTTCAATACATTGCTCGTCTCTTGCTTGACTTTGGTTCTAACTAAGAGGTATTGGAAAGCTAGAAAGGTAACACTTGCATTTTGTTTGAATTTATTATTATTATTATTATTATTATTATTACTACTACTACAGCCATACTATGCATCCCAGCTATTATAAATTAATTTAGTTAGCTGGCATCTGGCATCTTTTCTTGAAGAAAAGGCACTCACTTTATTAGGAAAGTTTAAGTTTAGGATTGCAGCACATGAGGAGGAAACAGGAGGACATTTAAGGGAAGCAGTGTTTGAAAAATGAGAATGATGGGCTAATCAGAGAAGAGAACATCAATTTCTAAAATCATAAGGATACTGATGAAACCTGAAACAGGTGAGAGTTACCACAATGAAGCTGCTTCTTCTTTTATACTTACAGAGACCTTGTCTACATCTCACTGTAACTACCTGCCTGTATACCTGCAGTAGTCCCAGCAAGCGGAAAGGTGGAATGAAAGAGGGGCTTTACTGGCTTCAAATAAGTGAGTAGAGGAAGAGTGGTAGATAGACATCTGCCAGTCCTAATCCATTTATCAGCCAGGATTTTGACTTTGTGGACATTTCTTAGTCTGGACAGACAGGGAAAGGAAAGTGAAGAAGAATTAAAAGATGTCTGTTCACTGAGTTGCTTTGTTATGAATCTAAAGAATTTGACTGAAGGAACTCATACGGACTTACATTTTTCCAATATAAGTACCTTGATTTGTTTCTGGAAATTTACACAGCACATTTCACAAAGCAGTCAAATTTTCTTGCACGTGTTGTTGAGGATTGTAAAAATGTTTTCAAGACATTCATAGCCCTCTGGAGTTTTCCAGACATGACCCACATCTTCATATAATGAGTCATTATTGATACCATATCTGAGAGCCCGTAGGCAAAACCAAGCACAGACTAATACATCCAAAGACAGTTTGCATGCTTGCAAAGAAGTGTATATACATACAGACAGATGCATAATCAAGGGACAAAAATAACTCTGAAAAGACATCACTACTGTCCCTAAGAGACAGTTGGCTCTTAAACAAGATCTTTTCACCAGTATATTCCAGGTTTTAATTACATTACTGTGGATGGCTGGAAGTCATCCTTCTTCATCCATATGGGGATTCAGAGAATACTGAAAGATCGTTAAAGAGCTGAGTGTACAATAGCATTAAAACTGGTTTATGCTCCATTAAGGAACCTAGTTTTAAGAGAATAAAAAGAAACACCTTGGATCATACAGAAAAAAAAAAAAAAAAAAAAAAAAAAAAAAAAAGAGCAAGTATCAATATTGAAAGATATTCAGCTCTAAGGGGAACTCACACAACTGGGGAAAAAATATTTAAAAAAAAAAAAAAAAAAGAAAGCAGGAAACCTATGTGATAGAGACTCAACAGATACTGTGAAAACAGCCCAAATGCTTTCTCACATGATTTCTGTAAGACTTCTTTGGCTTGCAACATGCCACTGCATTTACAAGTTCTAGAAAGAAACCATATATTTTTTCACATCAACTACTAGATGTCAAAATAACTGGGGCAGTTGTGTTACAGTTGCTGCAGCACAGAGGGAAAAAAAAATCTAGTTTTTTGTACACACAGTATGGAGCAGAAGGGCTATTTGTGTTTAATGTATAATATTATGAAAGAGTTTCAGCATTTCAATGTTTCAGAGTACTTTTTTCTGGTTTGTTAAGGATGCTTTTCTGCTTCCTGTGCTTTCTCCTGTATTTTGCTGACAGTTTAATTCTTAGGCAGATGGACCTTGATACAAGACCAGGGCAAAGTTCTTCTGATCAGCACTAAGTTGTAAGGCAGATGCAACAACCGCTTTGTCAGGAGCTGCCTCCCACATTCAGCAGGTCAGACTGGGAGTTGGATGGTCCCATTTGGCCTGACCCAGAGAGTGTGGCTAGCGCAGCTCTCATGGCATACCTAGCTCAGGTCAGTTGCAACTGAAAATACATTTTACTCTTAGCTTGCAAACCGTACTTCTAACCACCAAAACACACTTTAAAAAAAGGTTAATGACACAAACTTGCTTCACAAAGAGCTATCGCATGCTAGTAATTTTATCCACTGATACTGCAATCCATGTTCAACTGCTTACAACCCAGAGCTAAGAAGTAGCTTATTTCAGGCTCCTGGAATAACATCCCATTCCCAAGAAATGTTACTTGCTGTGCAGATTATTTACTGAATGAAGCCACTGTTCTGACCTGCAACACGTATGTGACTAGTTTCACTCACCCTCTTCTGCACATAACATGCAGCAAAAGTCCAGAGTTTAAATTCCATTAAGAAGTTTACTCCAGAAGTGTGATCATTTAATAGGATCATGAAATTTCTTAAAATACACAGTGAACTTTAGCATGAAAGAGTATGGATTTTTTTAATACAGACACATTTTTGTTATGCTTCTTAATTTATTAAATTTTAAGGAGGAATTATAAATCCATCTCTACACTATCTAACAAGGCAATTTTAATCTTTATTTTTAAAAAACACATTTATCAAAGATAACAATGCTTGATGGAAGTATCAGAGCAAAGAATTACTTACATGTCTAGCTGCTGTGCCCTGAAAATAGGGCAATAATCCCTGGTAATCCCTAGGTATTTAAGATTACCATGGAATAACACTAGAAAAAGCTTAGCAAATGATTTAAGAATGCCTCAGACTGTAATTATGTGCAGATAAAGGTCACCGGGTAGAATATTCCTGGTGTTGTTTGGAGTTCATGGAACAGTGAAGGTTTTATTCTGAGGTATTTTTAATTCCACTCTGCATAATAGGGGTGGAAAAGTAGCAGCATGACAGTATCTGATTTAATTTCTAGGTAATTGGTATGCCTGTAATAAGATTTTTTCCACTGAACAATAGGATAGTCAAGTAGCATGTGAAATAAGGGTCAAGAATAAAAAAAAAAAAAAAAAGAAAAAAAAAAAAAAAAAAAAAGTGAGAGGTTGGAAAGCTCGGAGGGAGAAGTACATCTCAAAGTATTTTCTTCTCCTCACTAAATGAACAAGGCAGAAACATTTGCCAAATCGTAAGGAAACTTCTTTTTGCTCATCCTTCCTACACATTTCCTTCTTACCTTGAGCCTTGCCCTCCTGCAGCACATACCCAGTGAAGAGGCTCGCTGTGGAAAAATTCGAAACAGCTGCTCTGCTGCTTTGCAAAACCGAGGCTTGTGTCGTTAAAACACTGGGATTTTGTTTCTTTGCTGACACCGGCTTTGTGAGAAGGCAAATCTCTGTGCAGACCCTACGTCCCCAGCTCAGAGATGGAGACAAGGCCTTTGCCTGCCGCGTGCCTGCAGAGCATCACCGGCCTGGAGTGAGCGGAGTCCCCAGCCTGGTCCCTGTGCACAGCCGGCCCAGGATGCGGCACGTTGGTGCACCTCGAATCGCACATCTGTCAGAGAGCAGCAGTTTATGCTGGCAATGCATGATGGCATATCCAGTTTTCCCTGGCTTCATGGACTAACAGTTTAAAGTCCCACACTAATGACAGTGTCTTCCATCCTCTCCCAGCCGAATAATCACAACACAGGAACCAGAAGGAGAGAAGCTTGCTTGCAAACAATTTATGATTTAAAAAATAAATTAGAAAAAAAAGGTAAAAATTTCAGTGAACATGGTGTGCACAAATCAGCTAAACAAGCTTTAATTATTGGAAAACACCTGCTGTCACTGTCATCATGGTTTGGAATGAAGATATAATTATAGCATTAACTTTCATTCCCACAGGACTACTGAATCAGGGAACTGACATTTAGAGTGATGTTTAATTTTTTTAAGAAATACAAAAACAATGTCATACCAAATTTGCCTTTTTTTAAGTCACAGGGGTTTCAAATATCATCCAGGGTTCCCCTAGAAAAGAAATAGAGTAAACTGGATTTATTATAAGGAAAAGAATTCAAGATAATGAAAATAATGTTTGGAGAAATTACATGTAAATTATATTTTGCCAGGAAGCTAAAACTGACAATCAAATAAAAATTCCCTGAATAGTCATCATGGTAGCACAGATGTTGTCCTGCCACATTTCACTTTGATTCTTTCTATTCAAGTTGCTCTAAAACAGATAATTGAATAAAAAGCTGTTACAGCAGGCTACAGACCTTTTTGTACAACTCAGGCTCACAGATCTTTCTTTTCCAGCTTTATTAACAAACCTGTTATTGCTGGGCCATATTTCCTGGATATTGAACATGGCAAATGCTATTTTAAAAGAAATATGGTTTGCAGAAATACAAGCTCCGCAGCTGTTACAGTGCCTGTTTTTTAAGCCCTCTGCACTGCATTTCATTAGCATTTCATAGAATTTGACTGAGAAGTTCAAAATGAGGGCAAATGTGCAGTTTTCAGAAGATCAACTAATTCAACAGCTTGGAGAGAGTAAGTGCTCCAGGAAGTCACATTAAAAACTGTTGAAAGTGCTGAGTCAACAGCAAACTTTGCATACAGAGTCTGTCAACTGGTCTCATGGAAAATTTATGCCTGTGCCTACAAAACCTTGCTCTTTGTTCATGAGAGCTATTAAGGATTTTCATTTCAAATAGGTCTTTGGAGATCAGGCTCCCACAGCCCTTCTGAAAGTCTCTGGGAGTCTGGTGCCATCATTTGCTTAGAAGTCATATGACTAATTGTTTGCTATGTTAACTTAAAAAATAAACAAATCAACAAACAAAAAACAACAACAAAAAAAAACCCCAAAACATCAGATCCCTCAGACAAGCAAGAATTGGGAAAATATCATGGGCAATTGACAGAAGCATTTCCAGTGGTCCAGATTGGAAGATGCATTTTTTGAATTAAACACAAGCAAACATCACAGCCAAGGTCTGCTTGCACCACTGCCATTAATATTTATTCCTTCTTTCATGCTAACCCTTCAAAAACTCATTCAAAACTATTTAACAGTTCCACAATTATTTTCAAACATGCACAAATTTACCTCAAATTCCTTTATTTTGCCAGCAAACCATGCAAATTTCAACTGTCTTACTTGGGGCCTTTTGCAAATGGCCACACCAAGTTTCACCTTCATGTAGATACTGACCTGAAATACTGCTTCAGAATAAAGGGCGTTTATTCTACATGGACTCTCAAACACTTTTGTGACTGATAGAACAGATATCTACCCTTCTGTGCTAGCAGAACTTCAGGCATGTAAACCTCTTTGAGAAGTAAGCCTCTGTCCTAAAAGCAACCCATGGCATGATTCTCTGTTCTATCCCCTTGCACACAACCCAAAAAGAGGGTGCAGCTCACCATGGTCTGAGAGGGATGTGGTGAGTATCTCTCCCTGAGGTTTTACGCATTCTGGTCTTGCTCTCCACAACCTGGTCAGAATTGAGCTCATCCATTTCTACCACAGACACATAAAATGACAGCAGTACCCACGTTCATGTGAGATGACATTGCCCTTTGCTCGAAGACCAACAAACAGAAAAGGTTGAGTTTTGCATGTACTGAAGCTACCCCACAGAAGCCAGACCTCGCACCAGGAAGTTAATATATTTGTGAGCAAACTATCCCCAGCATCAATTCATAGTCCCCAGAAGTCACCTCCAAAGCCCCAGAAATGCCAGACCAATGTGTGGTCCTACATGAAACTTCGCAATGAAATCCAATTAGGGGTACAGGCTGGGGCTTTTATTTCTGAGGGCTATATCGTGTGCATATGCAATGATTTTTTTCTCTATCTGCCAGACCTTTAAGTAAGAAAAATCTCCTCTCCTTGCCTCAATCACCAGTCATTTTGATTTAGATGTAGTACCTTACAAAAATGCTCCCAGATTCATTAGTTCTGTTCTTTCTTCCCCTAATTGGAGTAGCTCCTTGTGACTGAAAGAAAGCATTTGAGCTCAGTTGATTACAAGAGGTAGCATTTTACTTGTAGCACTTCAATTTGGAAAAAGAGAAGGCAACAGCAATAAAAGTTTGAAAGGCTAGGCTGTGCATTGTTTTTAGGACAGAGGTTTACTTCTGAGCCAGTCCTGGTACTATATTTTTCAACATTTCACTCACTACTGTTAGTTAAATTGTTTTTTTTACTTTCCTTCCAAGACATCCAAGTCCCAGCATTGCCCTTTGCACTCAAGCAAAAAGCCTGGAGACACCAGCAGGCAGCTTATCTGAGGAAAATGCAGGCTAAGTCCTAAAAAGCTCCTTTGGACCCTCCTTGCCTGAAAAAGAGCATCTGAGTAGTCTGCCAGGAAAAAAAGGAAGATTTGGGGCCATAAGACACTATATTCTTTTGGAAACAAGTGGCATCCTCTAAAAATAGTTGAGCAATATGTCATGCCAGAGGTTGATGGTACAGACCCAGCCTGCTTATCCTATGCATGAAAAATATTTCCCTCAACTCTGTACTCGTAGTTTTCTGCTTTTTATAAAAGGATTCAAGAAGAGCTTCCCAAGATGTGAGGCTGTGTTAGATTTCCAGTCTAAAGAACTTCTAGGGATATCTGGAGAATAATTTCCTTCTGTGTCTGAGAAATGTGTCACACAAATGGCAGAGGTAAGGAGAGTGGTTTCTTATGATTCCTGTGATTTGTGTCTCTAGATTTCCACGGCATGGTTTAAGGGGCTTGTGGCTGAGGGGCTCATTGCTAGCAGCTACTTGTGAGTGCAGAGGACTTAGTGTACAGCACTCCTCACCACTTTTTGCCTATGAGCTTCTGTGCTTTTTTAATATTTGCCAAAGAGAGAATTTTAGGGCTTCTCCACAGAAGTGAGGCTGTCACATTCCAGCCCAAAGGTCTCTGATCCATGAGGTAGATAAGTGACCACCGTGTTGTTTTTCCTTTCACATTTCATTACCAGACTACCTTCAGGTACCACAATTCTCAGCACATTTCCTGCCAGAAATAACTGCAGCTCAGTCTTTCTAGAGTAGCACATAGATAACGTGCTCTTCTACCACCCATGCCTGTGCATCATTCAGAGAAGCTAGGGGAAGGACATGTCCAGAAGGCTGTTTGCTACCTCAGTCCTTGTTTGCCCCTTATTCTATAACCCGGAGCTGCCATAATAAACTTGCAAATCTGTATCCTTTTTGTGTCTGGGAACCCTGTTTCCCAGCTTGGAGCATAACCACTGCAAAATAGCTAGACTTTAGTTTTTCCTCCCAGTGTTCTCCTGCCAGAGCACTGAAAGACCTCAGGATCTGGACCTCATCGCTAACAGGAATAAGTTGCAGAATCTAGCAGTCACATAGGCATTAAATAAAGTCACCTTTCACCTTCCTGACCTGACTGTAAGGAGCAGCACTGCCCACACTAGAGACCAGCGGGGCTCGGGAGCCCGGGGGAAGGCAAGGCAGAGCATCATGTCCCCAGTGCACAGCCTCGGCTGCCAGCAACACCTAGCGTCCTGAGCCAGAACTCACATCCAGGCGTTCGCATTTTCCTACCTGCTATGGGCTTGACTAATCCTTTTTGTGATTCCATTCATACCTTTGGCCTCCCAAACATCCTCTGATGACGAGTTCCCCAGTTTAAGCATGCATTGTACAGAGAAGGACTTCCTCGTCTTTGTTTTAAACCCACTGCCTGGTATCTCCACTGGGTGCCTCAGACTGTGAGATCCCAGTGAATTGTCGTTCCCTGGTTATCTTCCCTATACCATTCATGTATTTTTTAATAAACTTTCACCATCTTTCTCAGGTCCCAGATTTTCCTCTTCTGCTGAAAACAGCTTACCTGGACCAGAGAAAATCACTCAAAAGTATCAGTTCAATAAAACAAAAGCCCTTGCATGCCTTTATGTCTGCTTTGTTTACACAGATTTCCCAAGTTATTCATTGTCCCCAAATAAACACAATTAAGTTGAAAAATATAAGGCCAGGAGTACCACACTCGATTAATCAGTTGAATTAGCAGCACTGATGCATGTGTAACAAGTGAGACCAGGGATTTCCAGACTGAAGCCTGCTGAATACCTATACACACACACATGAGGATCACCTTGCTCTGAAGTGCTTAGTGCTTTCTTTCGGGACCAGATGTCCCAAAGGTCTGCTATAGTTCAGACACCAGAAACCCACAGCCATGTTCCCTTGCTCCATGGCAGAGAAAAGACCCCACTCTGGAAAACTGAGCATGGACTGTCACAACCAGAGTTTCTACACCCAAGCCCTTTGCCATTCAGACCTTATTCTAGTGCTTACTAACACAGCTATGCCTGCAGAAACACAGATCCCATAACTAAAAAATCTGTCTCCAAGGAACTGTCCATCAGTGGTGAATTACAACAGTATCACCACGGTGATAAGCAGCAACTGAACAGTGATAACAGGAAGGGCTCACTGCAATCACTGGGCAGGAAGAGAGGAGCACTTCACCAAGCAGGAACAACAGGGGAGTTCACACAGACAGAGCATATCATAGTTAGGAGACATTTCTGGTTTTATGAGAACTATCA